TCATGGCTTGCCTCAGTGCAGTACTTCTCGCTCAGTTTCTTTATAAAAAACTGAAAACGCCCATCAAAACGATTCGTTTCTTCTCCGACTCGCACACAGCCCTCTTTCTGATCCAGTAGACCGCTTAAAACCTTTGTTGCGAACCGGGTAAAGAAGATTCGTACCGTTCTTAATACCTTTGCCGACTCCAAAGTTATTACCGCCTTCCACTACATTAACACAGACCTGAATCCAGCAGATTGTGCAACACGAGGACTCTCAGCTCGAGAGATCTCTGAGCACATTTGGTGGAAAGGTCCACCACATATCTGCTTACCGCCGTCACAATGGCCAGATTCGGAAGTCGACTTCGCAGTCTTACCTAGCTCAGTTCTGGAAACAGATCTCGAGTATAAGGAGACGACTGTGATTTCGAATCCGTCTCATGTGTCCATTTTACCGCTCGCACACACCAGTCACTACGACAGGTTAGTGCGTATTACCGCGTACGTTCTTCGTTTCCTTCGCAGTACAGTTTACGACAAAGTCTCATCCGAGACACGTAAACGTATTGACGAATTTTTACCGCTTTCTGAATTTCCATCCATTCAGATCAATTAGTCGCCAGCAAACACGCACAGCAGAACTCGTTTTGCTACGTGAGCATCAGAGAGAAGCTGTGCATTCGACACGGCAAGACATTTACCGCGACTCATTTGGCATCATTCGAGTTAACACTCGCATGCGCCAAGAACAGTCATCTTCGCAGAATCATCCGATTCTGCTCATGCCGAATCACCCGTTTACCGCCATGATTATCACCTCTTGGCATTGTAAGTTACACCATGCAGGTGCTAATCATATTACCGCTACGCTCCGACCCCTGTTCTTCATGCCTCGCATGCATAGAACAGTGAAATCGGTTCTTTCTCGCTGTGTAGTCTGTAAGAGACATCAAGGTCGTCCCTACAGCTACCCTATCGCACCAGATTTACCGCTGGAAAGGATCACTAGATCCAGACCATTTCAGAACACCGGTCTGGACTACTTTGGTCCATTCCAAGTTACCGCAAACGAGCAAGAGACTCGTAAGGTGTGGGTTTGTCTGCTCACATGCATGACAACACGCGCTTTACATCTCGAACTCGTTCTCGATAATACCGCACAGGAGTTCGTACTAGCTTTTCGTCGCTTCATCGCTAGAAGAGGAACTCCAGACCTCCTCATTAGCGACAATGCACCGACGTTTAAGCTAGGACGAGATATTCTCGTCAATGAACTTCTACGAATCGCAAACGATACGAACGTGACGGATTTCACCACGAAGCACAGTCTTCAATGGAACTTCATTACTCCACTTTCACCGTGGAAGGGAGGTTTCTATGAGAGACTGGTCGGAATGGTGAAAAACGCCCTATGGAAAACCGTTCGTACCAATACGCTTACTTACCGCCTCTTCGAAACGCTGATCATTGAGATCGAAGCGACGCTCAACACCCGTCCTTTGACGTCGTTGAGCACTGCATCCTCCGTGCAGTTCAACACGCTTCGACCCATTGATCTTATCAGCCCTTATTTTCATGTAGGATATTTTACCGCAACCTCTCGCCAGTCGCCTTTTTACGTCTATGATCTTTCCGATTCACTGACGAAAGAGGCACTTCGAGAGAGTTACGATACGTTGGTTACCGCACTTGACCATTTCTGGAAGCTTTGGCGCGAGGACTATCTTCAGACGCTCGCCCAACGCCAACAGAAACTGGCCAAGAACGCACCAGGATCTAAGGCGCGACCAGCCGTAGGAGATCTCGTGGTCGTGAAGACGGAAGACATGCCGAGAGCTCATTGGCCTCTCGCGGTCATCACTCGCCTTCACGTATCCAAAGATGGCCATACGCGCTCCGCGCAGATCCGTACCGCTAAAAACACTCTTCTGGATCGCTCCATCAAGCACCTTATTCCGCTAGAGATCCATGTAGAGAAAGAACTTACCGCAGAACCATCCTCACCAACCCCTACGAGGACTCAACCGCCGAGACGAGTGAAGCGAGCAAAACGCCATTAGCAGTACTTTCTCTCAACCCCTTCTTTCCCTTTTTGCTCGTTTCGCCGTTTCCATTGCTTACCGCATCGACCTGCTGCGCTGTGCGCATTGCGTGCATCGCCGCAGGACCCATTGCCGCATAAGGCGAGCGGCAATCGTATGCCACGTGGATGACTATCGATCGATGGCAGTCATTCGCTCTACTACCCTCAGTGCACACGATCGCTTCTCACCTTATCTTACCGCATATCTTTCTTCTTCTCTCATCGCTTCTTCTTTCTACCATTTCGATGTACGTTTCATTTGTGATTACATCTTGTTTTTCAGGTGTTCAACATCTGTAACGTGCTTTCGAATTATGGCAAGGAAGAGGTCGTCGAGAGCGTCGAAAAAGAAGAAGACGTCGCCAACGTCAGCTTCAGTTTCGACGCCAGTGGTGGAGGAGAGCCATGGAGGCTCAACCGTCGGGAGCTGAGGACGCTCAGCAGCAAGGAGCTGAAGAAGCTCCACAACAGGATGTTACCGCCGCCTTACCGCAGCCATCGGATCCGCTTCGCGATCAGATCGAGGGACTGTCAGGCACATTCAGCGACAACGTGAACATCATACCCGGAAGGGCATTCGCGTTCGAGTCGTTGGTCCGCGCTGGTTTGGTGGATCCCACCAAGCCAGAGGCGAGATTCTGTGCTGACTACCCTTTGTCGGATACGGGAAGTAGCGACCCTGGCTATCCAGATGAGAATGACCCAGACGACTTGTCAAGTGGAGGAAGCTGACTCCAGCCCAGCTAGCGGGAGAGGAAGAGATGGACCAGTCTGTTCCTCCGGAGCAGCAACCACCATCGACAAGTCAGGGTCCATTACCGCCACCGTCTTCGGACGTTACCGCAAGTAAGTTATTACCGCAGATGCAACGCATCAAAGAGAAGGTTGTCAAGTCTTCCTTCGTCGCAAGCGGCTTCAGCTGTCCCAGCGACGGGGCAACAACATCCTCTTCAATTACCGCAAAATTTACCGCTCGAACTTACAGACAGCTCGCCTAATGCTTATACAAATTCATCAGTTTTAGGCTTGCGGGTGCCTAGGGCAAACCCCTTTAAACCTCCCCTGGTATGTGGGCTAGGCCCCCCACATACCTCACTACGGCCTACCACTAATCAAGCACATATGGTTAAATATTACTACAGTCAACTCTTCTATAGAAGCAAAGTAAACAACATGTACCACCTAGAGAACTTCGGCACTGAAATTTCTCCTATGCCTTGTAGTTCAACCTGCGGAAAATGTGTTCTAATAAATAATAAAAATTATATCATTTCTAATACCACTAAGTTAAAAATCAACACATATATAGAAGGTGATGCAAATTGTAATAATAAAAATGTAATATACGGTCTTGAATGTTTTGCGGTTTGCAATATGTGGGTCTAACCACTAGGAGATTCAAAGATAGAATCAGAGAACATGTGTACCATATATATAAAAATGATTCCAGTAAGTATCTATACAAACACTTCAGTGACAGATGTAAAAATAAACTCTTTTCTTTCTCGATACTAGATAATTTCCAAGAAAACATCGACAAGAATATACTGCAAAACAAAGAAGCCTTTTGGATTAAGCTACTAATATCAGCGTATCCTTTTCGGGAACAATGACAATGTCAAAGGATATGGTAACATCTCCAACATTGTTAACCCACTTACATACAAACCAACACATCCGTATTTCGCACTTAAGATTCTAAAAACGAAGAGATAGAAAGACAAGAACTCATAGAAAGAAAACGAAAAAAAGATAAACAGATAGATAAGTTCATACAGTTACTTCTTGGAACGTCAGATCTCAAAACAATTCGAAAGGAGTTATATGGAATGAAAAAAAGTACTATTAATAGTATTATTAGGCTAAGTTATTCTGAAACCTTTTTAGCTAATCTCTCGATGGAAAAGAAATATTTATTCCTATGCTTACTATGTAAATTTCATTTTGATTCCCAGGTAAAACATACAAAGAAACTAAATTACATTAATTTACCAACTGAGTATATACGTAATATTTTAAATTATATAAACATTAAAGATAGTCAATATTATATAATAATATATAGTCAGATAGTCAATATAAGATAGTCAATTCACATCACGTTACACAAATCATACAAAATAATACACATGTTAAATATAATCCTTTTAGGATAGTTATAAGTATAACAAACCTTTATCTACTTCATTCTTTAACTACAACAGTAGTCTAAAAACTCTTAACAATAGTCAGTTAATTAATATTGTAACTAATGACTGTATTTGTGTAAGTGAAAGGTATAAAGATTATGTTGATGACTATCATGGTCATGTAATTACCGGGGATTTGAGCATTATTGAAAATCCGTATATTAAAAACTTACTAGAAAAGGGATGTAAATATAGAATTCCTAATACGGTTTCCAAAAGATCTATATTAAATTGGATAGATAGTACAGCCAAAAGCTATGGAGAAATTATCAAACACAAGTATAAACTAGACCAGAGTATATCATCAGAAATTGTTAAATACATTAGCTTAAAGATTTATAGAATATTAAAACCTAAGCTTTACATCTCCTGGTTACATCAAGGAGAACAGTTCAATACTAAGGCTAGGAATGAAGTCAAGAAATTGCAAGACCGATTCATCTTTTGTCCTTTAGATAAAGCAAATAATAACTTTGGGATAATATGTAAAAAAATTTATATCCTGACAATAATGAAGTGGGAATAACATTAAGCGCTAATCTAATACTAATATAACTTAAGCGCTTACATTAAGCGTAACATTAATACATACGCTTACATTAGCGCTTACATTAATATAACTTACGCAACTTACATTAAGCGCTAACTAATACTTA